CTAATCTTGCTCTTCGATGCTAATCTTGCTCTTCGATGCTAATCTTGCTCTTCGATGCTAATCTTGCTCTTCGATGCTAATCTTGCTCTTCGATGCTAATCTTGCTCTTCGATGCTAATCTTGCTCTTCGATGCTAATCTTGCTCTTCGATGCTAATCTTGCTCTTCGATGCTAATCTTGCTCTTCGATGCTAATCTTGCTCTTCGATGCTAATCTTGCTCTTCGATGCTAATCTTGCTCTTCGATGCTAATCTTGCTCTTCGATGCTAATCTTGCTCTTCGATGCTAATCTTGCTCTTCGATGCTAATCTTGCTCTTCGATGCTATAGGAAGTGTAATATTATTTAAAGCTGTTACTCCTGCTAAAGTCTTTTATAAAATAAGTAGCTGTTAAAGTTGATTAGTACTGGATTCATTGGCCACAAGGCATTTCTTTTAATAGTTTCTTTTTTAAAATATATAGAATTTTTGTTGACTTGCACATTCGCTGCTACTAAATGCAAAACAATTTCTGTTTTTTTCTTTTGTTTTTAAAAAATGCTACAGTTTGATACATAAGTTTTGTTAGTGTATGTTTAGGGTTGTCTCAAAAGAATTAGAAGGGAAGCTTAATCACTTCATTAAATTCTATTTCATAATATAAAATAGGCATGTATATAGTCAAATTTTGTTTAAAAGTCTTCTTATTTTTAATTATATCAATAAGGCAATGTGCAAATACCCTTGATAAACAATAACAATTAATACTTAAAAAACATTGCACAACACTTGTACCATCATTTACTCAAACTTCAAGTTTCACATTTTTAGATCAAGTGTCATCTCTTATAAAAATTTTTAAAATGTTTCAAGTGTCATCTCTTATAAAAATTTTAAAAATGTTTCAAGGCTACTCTAGTGCTGTAACTTTAATTTTTTTTTTCAAGTACTTATACTGCATACAAGTTTTTATAAAAAGTTGATATTATATAATAATAAGGGGAAGAAATGATATATAAGTTTGATAATATTATAATATGTTTCATTTTTATATCGATTTAAAATTTTTAGAAAATGTATGGAATTTATCTGTGTTTACCAGTGATATTCTTGGAGCAGGTACTGATTCTTTAGTTTCATTTACATTGTATGGTGATAAAGGAAAGACAGAGGAAACAGTTTTAAATAATAAAACAAATAACTTTGAGCGAGGCAGTGTTGATCATTTTAATGTTGAGTTGAAAAAAATAGGAGTTCCATATAAGATTCGTATTGGTCATGATAACTCAAAGATGTATTCAGATTGGCATTTAAGTAAGGTCAGATATTTAATAACTTCATTTATAAATGTGTAATTTCTTTTTTAAAATTTTTTTGAAACTGTTTTAAATTGTTCTGTTTATAAGGTGGAGCTTGAGAATCCTTTATCTAAAGAAAAATACTTATTCACATGTGATAGATGGATTGGTGTTGGAGAAGATGATGGCCAATGTGTTAGAGAATTACCAGCACAAAGTGGCTCTGCACCAGTATTGCCAAGTATGTTAGACTTTGTAATGAATATTAAAAAGCTTAATACTAACAACATTATTACTTAACTGAAATTTTTTTAGTTCTACCTTATAAAGTTATTGTTTATACTGGTGATAAGTATGGTGCAGGCACGAATGCTAATGTTTTTATAAATATATTTGGTGAAAGAGGAGATACTGGTAATAGACCTCTGCTGAAGTCAAAAAATACAAATAAGTTTGAAAGAAAACAGGTAAAAAAAAGTTATTAGCTTGATTTTTTACTTGCTGTTGATGAAAATAATGATGACGGTTATCATCATCATTGTGAGGAAGATCATAATCATTATTTTTAGATTGATGAGTTCATTGTAGAAGCAGTTGATTTATCTAAATTAACATCAATTAGAATAGGTCATGATGGTAATAACAGTGGAGATGGATGGTATTTAGACAAAGTTATAATCGAAGATCCAAAGACTAAATCAAGCTATCCATTTTTGTGCAATAGGTTTTTTTTTATATTAAAATATTTTTATAGATAAAAAAATTAGAACAAAATTATATAGATTTTAATCAAGTAACATGTTTTAATAACATAAATAAAAAATAAAACAATAAGTGTATTATTAAAAATTTTTTTTATAAATAGATGGTTAGCTACAGATGAAGATGATGGCCTAATTGTTCGCGAGCTTCCTGTTGGTGATTCTGCTACTTTACTAAAAAGTAAATTTTATGTTATTATGAATTACTTTTTGTTTTTTTACTTACTAATATTATTTACTCATTACTTTTAATTTTAAAACATATAATTACATATTTTATTACATAATATTTTAGATCTAAGAAAATATTTCTTGTTACTTTTGATTAAAACTTCTGTAAAAAATACATACTTAGATGTTTTAAAGCTAAAAATATATTTTTAAGTCTTTACTCCAGCCTACAAATTTTAAAATATAATATCTCCTTTTGTTATATGTGTTCAAAATTGTGCATTTTACCATATAATAAACTTTGACTTAAGATCCCAGTTTATTTTTTGAATGATAATTTTATTCTTTTAAAAGTTAGCTACTAGTTGTTAAGATAGAAAGTGATAGAAAAACATGAAATATTGAAATTTACATTTTAAACTGAAATCTGTCTGATGCTCTTTGTTTTTCCCTCTCTTCACCATTCTTCCATTTTTTATCCAGTGTTGAATCCGTAAATCAATATATATATATATATATATATATATATATATATATATATATATATATATATATATATATATATATATTAGCCTATCCCATTTTGACCCTCATGAACAAATTTGAATACACAGAGTTTCTCAAAATGTTCGCAAGGTATTGGTTTCTTAATAAAATTTTTAGTTTTTTATTTTGGATGAATATTTTCACTTGCACAACTTTATTAAGTCTAACTTTTTTACTTTTATTGAGTTTTTAAGGGCATTTTCAAATGATTGACATAAAAAATTTACAAATCATTAACTATATACTTATATCATTACAAAAAATGAAAGGTTTTTTATCTATACTAATTGTGCACATTTTTATTAATAACATGTTTGTTAACTGATGGTATTTTAAAAGCGCACAAATTTGTTATGAAATTAAAAAAAAGGTGATTTTTAAACAAGGTAGCAGTGAGACCCAATATACAGCAATACAAAATTTGTTAGATTTTTTTGATCTTGGACAGCTCATTTGATTCAAACACTGGCTACAAAAAAGAGGTTTGTGAAAGATTGACTAAGTTTCATGGTCAACCATAATTCTTGTTAAACTGCTGCAATCACATTGGAGAGCTTCAATTAGCCATAGTCAAAAATAAAACTGTTAGGCTGAAGAATCATCTCTGAAGCAGAGTTGGGATGGTGTTGATGCAAACAATGAGGGGGTACTGTTTCAATTTAATCACCAGAATCTTAAAGGCACCTGATTGGAAAAGCAGGCTCTATTGGGGCTCAAAACTTGTAGGGACCTTATAGACCATAAAAAGTTACGAAATAGTAAGGTAAGGATAAAATAATATCACTTGAAAATACCTAAATGCAAAAATAAAGTATATAAAATTAAATTTTAAAATTATTCACATTTAGGCTTTTGAGAAGCACAGAGATTATTGTGAACTTGCGAAGCTTATGGTTACGTTTCTTAACCAATAGGTAAAAAATTAACAAAAATAGAACTATTTCATATCCTAGGTTTTTGGCAAAGACATTTTGCTACATGAAATTCAAGTTGTTTTTCCCGAAAATCAGGCTTATTCTTATTCTCAATGATAAAATAATCAAAGAGATCAATAGAATGGCTGACTATATTTCTCTTTTCTGGGCATCGTGGTTTTTAATCTGCGAGTTTTCCAATTCTGTAGCTTTAAAAGTAAAACTTAGTTTCATAAGTTTTGATATTTTAGTATTATTATTAAAAAATAATATATTTTATAAAGTAACAGTTTAAAAAAAAAATGGTTCGCAAAATGGTTTAAAGCCCGATGTAAAAGACAAAGAAAATAACTCTCAACCAATTTTTTTTTACCACCGACTGATGTTTCTCAAAATCTGTGAGAAATATAATAGAAATAAAATCAATAGAAATTTTGATTTTATCTTGTCAAAATTAAATGTAATAATTTTTTAGCAGTGTCATTTTTAATTTTTTTTATCTACATTGCATTTTTTTTAATTTACACTTTTAAAATGAACAAGACTATTGGCAGATGCGCCATTATACTGAATATGATTCTGCTGCAAAAGTGGCATTAAAATTATTGTAAAACAGTATGAGATGTTGAGCTCTCTAACCTAGGCTTCGACAGGAATAGCGTGCTATTGCTAACCTTGCAAATGATTTTTTTTGTTGACCATGACTGTTTAGATGTTTTGATGATTTAAATATTCAAAAATGCATTGAAAATAGAAATGCTGAGCTAAACTTAAACAAGAAAAAAAATTTAAAAATAAAGAAAACAATACCTTACTAAAAAGAAAACTATATAAGCTTTAAAATAAATTTCAAAAAACTTAAACTCGAAGCGAAAATTGCTTTTTGTTACATTTTTAATCAATTAAAAAAAAATCAAAAGGTTTATTCTACTTCTTTGATTTATTATTAGATATATACTCATTTTTTTTTAACACTTTTACTGAGATCATTTGTTATTATTTTTGTTGTTGTTGTTGTTGTTGTTGTTTTTTATTTTATTAATTTCGAAATTATAATATTTTTGTATTTACTTTTTTATGTATGTTCTATATGTCTGTTTATTCATACTGTATTAAATGATTGCCTTCACTCCTTTGATCAAATTTTTGTACAAGTGACACCCTCTTTATCAATCATTAACTTATTATTATAGGATACTGATGTATTTATAATTGTTGTAGTCATGATTATATTATTATTTTTGTTGGTATAATATATTTATTATTATTATAATTGGAGCATTTGCAAAGTATCAGTTTTGAGTATGAGCAGTATTTTTTCTTTGCATTAGTAATGGTGCTGATACTTAAACAGTAATTCACAATGAAATGTTGTTTTTTATTTAATTATTTATTAATAAATTAAAATATTTTACTTAGTTATTTAATTGCATTTATTTTTAGTGTGTTTTGTTTATGATACAAAGAAAACATCGAAAAGTTGTTTTCATTCGTTTTTACGTACCTTTAGTTGTTATACAGTATTAATCTTTTTTTGTTATGTGTTGATATACAGCATTACTCTTTCTTTTGTTTGGTGTTTATTTTGGTGATAAATTTTACAAGACCTAACTTGTTTTATTTTTTATTCAACCTTGAAATAATAAGTTTATGAATAGCTGCTCATTTTTAAATAACAACAATTTGAGTCTTAAGCTTAAGCTATGAATACTCAACAGAAGAGTGTAACAGATTATTTAAATAACATATTATTAATAGTAAATAGATAACCTAAAATAAGTAATTATTTTTTTAAATAACACAATGTTTTTTATTCTTGACATGTTTTGTAAAATTCGTTTACATTTGCAAAAGATTATTTTACAATAATAAAACTCAGAAATAGATATTAAAAAATTGAAGTCTTTACAGAGAAATTATAACCGACAAAAATTTATACATAATAAACCAATATATTTATTACAAATAACTTGGTAAATAACCAATCAAATTAACCAACTGTCAAAAAATAATAATTAACTGACAGTAAAATTAAATAAATAAGTTTATAGCATAATGTGAAGTTTTTTTTAGTAAGTGAGGAACTTTCCCATTTAATGTGAAAAGTCCTTCTCACTTAATAAACAAACTTCACATTATGCTATCTTGTTCTTTTTCCATTTTAAAAACTTTTTAAAAAATTGCAAACTATATAAAAACTTTTTAAAAACTTTTTTTTTTTTACTTTTTAAAAAATTGCCAACTATTTAAAGTCTACCCAAAATATCTTGGACTTAACATACCACATGCAACATACCACATGCAACATACCACATGCAACATACCACATGCAAATTATAATGATATAATCTCGATTAAAAAGCGATTGCTTAAAAGTTACAACATGATGAACTTGATTTATTAAACAATGGTCTTGGTTTTGCTTTGCTACCAGCATTTATAAAAAAGAGGGATGTATTCGCTTAATTTAATTGTATTTTACAATTTCTTAATAATCAACTGAAAAACTCAAAACCTCAACTTAAAAGTGAACTTTTCCATTTGGCTAACAATTATGTATACAAATACTCCATCTGAAAATTGTCTAAGAAAAGATAAAATAATAAAAAGACTTCAGAATAATGAGAACATTGTTATTACACGACCCGACAAAGGAAATGGTAAAATTGTTCTTAATAAAGTTGTTTATATAAATTCATTACATAATTATAAGTAATATGACTGATTTTAAAGAATTAAAATCCAACTATAAAAAGAGAATTATCTTTACAAGGGTATCTTAGAAAATTTTATAAACTTAAATGTTTTGAAAAAGACATTTACACTAAAATCTATCTTATAGGATATCAACCTTCAAGAATTTATGCGTTACCTAAGATGCACAAAGTTAGTAAAGATAGTTCTCTTCCAACATTTCAACCTATCATCTCAACAATCAGAAAATATAACTACAACCTTGCCAAATATTTTTCTCTTTTATTGTCTCCTCATATACCTAAACAATTTTGCACTTTAGACTCATTTTCTTTTGTTGAAGAATTAAAACAAATTAATATAACTAATAAATTTACTGTTTCATATGATGTTGAAAGTTTGTTCACCAATATTCCACATAAGGAAACCATCAACATAGCAACTGATTTATTTTTTAAAGATAAAATTAACTCAAAATGTTATTCAAAAATTCACTTGTAAAAATTACTTCAGATTTCCACATCTGAGTCACATTTTTTATTTGATGGAAAATATTACGATCAAATGGATGGTGTTGCTATGGGTTCTCCTTTAGCACCTATCTTCACCTGTCTTACAGATTCTAAAAATCAACCAGCTCCAACTCCTTTGCCATCATGACCAATGATTAATTTTTTAATCTTTTAAAAAAATTCACATTATATTATTATCATATCATCATCATCATCATCATCATCATCATCATCATCATCATCATCATCATCATCATCATCATCATCATCATCATCATCATCACCATCATCATCATCATCATTATCAAGATTAATCGTCAGATTTCATGAACAAACATGGGTCAATAACTGCTCCTTTACTGCACCATTATTTTATAAATGGTATGTGGATGACATAATTACTATTTTTAATTCTGAATATGAAACTCAAGAATTTTTCAAACACATCATTAAACAATAAAAATTTGAAATTTACTATTGAAAAAGAACAAAAGAACCAGATTGCTTTTTCAGATGTACTTATAAAAAAATCCAATTCATTTTCGACTTCAGTTTATCACAAAAAACGTATACAGGTCTTTTAAAAAATTTTTTAAGTTTTATTCCTTCTTGGTATAAATTTGGACTTGTTCGTTGTTTGAAATTAATAATACTTGGGTTGGTTTTGATAAAGTTATTAAGAATCTATCATTAGTTTTACAAAATAATAAATTTGCACAAAAAATTATTGACTCTGAAATTAAATCCTATATTGATAAGAAAATGAACCCATCTGTTTCTAACATTGTTAATAGCTTAAATATAAGATACTTTAGGTTTCCATACATTGGAATGTACTCTAATTATACTAAAATGAAAAAATTTCAAAAATTGTTAAATTAATATTGTAATAATTTAATAAATATTGCAAGGATGTTCTTATAAATATTGCAATGATATTCTAATAAATATTGCAAGGATGTTCTAATAAATATTGCAAGGATGTTCTAATAAAATTAATTTTCATTACTAATAAAATACAAGATTTTTTTTACTTAAAAGAGTCACTTCCTAAACTGCTTAAATCTCATGTTGTCTATAAATTTTCTTGCGCTGGCTGTAATGTCAGTTATATTAGGGAAAACTCCAGACATTTGGCAACTAGAATAAATGAGCACCTTAAAAGTGATAAACGATCTCATATATTTAAAGACTTAAAATTATCTATTAATTGCAAAAACCTGGCTAACGGTGATTCTTTTGATATTTTAGATAACGCCCCAACCAAACACAAATTAAAGATAAAAGAAGCCCTCCACATTAAACGGGAAAGTCCCTCACTCAATAAACAAACTTCACATTATGCTATAAACTTATCTATTTAATTTTACTGTCAGTTTATTAATATTTTTTGACAGTTGGTTATTTTGATTTGTTATTTATTGAGTTATTTGTAATAAATATATTGGTTTATTATGTATAAATTTTTGTCGGGTATTATTTCTCTGTAAAGACTTTTTTAATATTTATTTCAGAGTTTTATTATTATAAAATAATCTTTTGCAAATGTAAATAAATTTTACCAAGCATGTCAAGAATAAAAAATATTGTGTTATTTTTAAAAATAATTAAATATATAACCAAGTTATAATAATAAATGAATAGGAAATTATATGGTTTATTTTATTTCAGCAACTTCTTATCATGTAAGTGTAAAAACTGGGGATGTTGCAGGAGCTGGTACAGATGCAAATGTTTATTTGATCCTATTTGGAGAAAATGGTGACACAGGAAAACTTCAATTGCGTCAAGCTCAAACTAAAAACAAGTGGGAGCGAGGAAGAACAGACATGTTTACACTTGAAGCAATGGATATCGGAAAGGTAATTTTTTAATGATATGACATTGTTGTTGATTATGGCAAGGATGACAAAAATGATGATGATGATGATGATGATGATGATGATGATGATGATGATGGCAAGGATAATAAGAATAATAATGATGATGATGATCATGATGATGATGATGATCATGATGATCATGATCATGATGATGGCATGGATGATAAGAATAATAATAATGATGATGATGATGATGGCGGCGATGATGATGATGATGATTGATGATGATGGTGATGATGATTATGATGATGATTGATGATGATGATGATGATGATGATTGATGATGATGATGATGATGATGATTGATGATGATGGTGATGATGATTATGATGATGATTGATGATGATGATGATGATGATGATGATGATGATGATGATGATGATGATTGGTGATATAATCTGAATTTTTTTAAAAGATTAAAAAATTAATCATTGGTCATGATGGCAAAGGAGTTGGAGCTGGTTGGTTTTTAGAATCTGTAATAGTGGAAATACCATCTCAAGGACAGCATTTAAGATTTTCATGCAATCGTTGGCTTGCAGAAGATGAAGATGATAAGTTGATTGAAAGGGAACTTTATCCTAGCGAAGAGAGAGAATTGTCTAAAAGTATTTTTATCCTTAATTTCAATAAATTTTTTTTTTAAATTTATAATTAAATTTTTTTAATTAAAAAACAATTTTAATAGAAATAATGAAAAAAATATCAGCTATTCTTTGTAAAGCAAATAAATTTGCATTAAATAAGGTTATCAAAATTCCTATTATTTTATCTTTTCATAAAAAAAAGAAATCTTTATGATTTGAGTTATTACAGTTTCATTTTTTCGGCTAGATTTTATTTTCAGTTAAACATTTTAATCTAATGAAATAAACATTAAAACTTTTGTTCAAATAATACAATTTTATTAATGAAAATTAGAAAAATTAGCTGCATAAAAAATGGTTATTATGTTAAACTATTATTTTTTTAATGAATTTAAAATAAAAAGTAAACTAAAATCTTATTTTTGAATAATTAAATTTGTACTAAGCTTGGATACATTGTATACTTTACATATAAGCAGCTTTGTGTTTTAGTGTACAGCTTTTGTTGATCTTGACAAAGTAATAATGCATAACTTTTAAGGTTTTATAATTATGAAAATTCTCATTTGAACTGTTGGCTGTTGTTGTTGAAATAAAAACCTACTGTTTTAGCTTTTTATATGTTTTTGTCAACATATTTTGTTTCTTTTGAAGATAGGCACTGTTTTGTGACTTAAAAGTCGAGTTTCTCCCAAAAAAAGTTTGATTGAGTTTAAGGGGTTTAGTTGCGCACTTGTGATCTTTTGTTTTAGTGTTTGTTGAATGTTTGCTCCTCTAACCATATTGAAGTTGCCCTAAAGTTAAATGGCTTGAATTATGCATTTTAACATCATTTTTTTTTTGTGATAATTGTCACACTCACACTTCCTTTGTTTTGAAGTATCTTATATTTAAACACCTGAAGTACTCTAGAAAGATAATTGGTTTAAATCTGGACATCTGGACTAAGCACCTTCCTCAGTAATGGTTTTTAGGCTTGCATCATCAGATGGTAAAAAAATGTCACCAGTATTCATTGATTTGGATATAAATATAAATATATATCAGGCTTTGACAGGAAGGTCTTAATATGACCATGCAAATTACATTTTGCTATGACAATTTGACCACGGCTAGTTCAAAAAACATTTTAAAAACGCGCTAAATGAAAAATATTCTGAAAAAGTGAAATTAATTACATCAAAACTTCTTGACAAATGTTTTTATATTAATGAATTTTAATATAAGAATAGTTAAAGTTAATACATTTAAAATTTCGTTTAAAAAAAAAGTTTTAGAAAGCCGTTGTAATTAAATAAGTTTGATCTTAAATGCTTTTATATTATCGAAATGCTTTTCAATGAAGTAACAAAACACTTCTAATTAATTTTTAAATTAACTATTAATAAACTGTATATATATATATATATTTATATATATATATATATATATATATATATATATATATATATATATATATATATATATATATATATACAGGGTTGTTATATGTCTGAGACATTTTCTGCCAATGTATTTTTTCCCACATATTTTCTATCGACGTGTTTTGACATAATTTTATGTCTTAATTATTTTCTGCTGACACAGAATATGTCAGACAAATTTTCTGTTGATATATTTAGTCATAATTTAAAGAGCATGGCTCAATTTAACGGTCAGACATTGGACATTGTCTGGCTAAAACCTCAGATTGTCCAATCAATTTACAAAGTAATCGGACATTTTGACCAAAGGAAATTAATTACTACAAAATAAATACTTTATTATAAATATAAAAATTAAAATTAAAAGTAAAGTAAACTAAAAATAAATCAAAAGCTTTAAAATAAAATTCAAAAAACTCAAAGTTAAAATTATTTTCAAAATAAATTACTTTAAAATTTATCTTTTAAAACATTTTATTAAAGTTACGCAAAACGTTTTTAAAAATTAAATCTATTGATTGTTTAATAAATAAACAAATTTTATTTAAATTATTTAAAAGTGAAATTAAACATTGAAAAGAAAAAAATATTATATTTTTAATTTGTTCAAACATTTCTTTCAAAAAGTTGTAAAAAAAAAAACAAATTAAAAAAAACGTTGTTTTTTTAAAAATGTAATTTTTAATCATTTCATTCTTTGTAATTCAAATTCATTCGTGCAGGTTTGTCAAATTAAAAAAAGACAACTTTTAATCAATTCTTTGTAAAAATAAAAGAAAGAAAAAAAAAAGCAATTTAATCTTGGGAAATTAATTAAACTTATTCATAATTTAAAGTAACTTGAAAATAATAATCATTTAATAAAAGATTTTTAGAAAGACTTTTTATGATAAATTTAAATATTTGAAACTATTTTAAAAATAGTTTCAAATGTTCAAATTTATCATAAAAAATACATACCTACTAAAATAAAATTAAATATAACATTTATTTACACATAATGCGTTTATTTAAATTATAATTTTCAATTTAAAGCGCTTGCATAAAATAAAAATTTTAAAAAAGATCAGCGCTTAAAAGTTTTTTGTAACCTAACAATTTTTTTAATTGCACTTGAGTATTTAAAACATCAAAACAGCCGTTTTCAATTGTAGAGAATAAACAAAAAGTTGTCAGTTACATTGTGAAAATTTAAGTCTATCTAAAAAAATATGCAATATTATATTGGAGCTATTTTATAAAAAAAAAAAGCAAAAATCTGCGATGAAATATTCAAAATAACTAACGTTAAATAAACTTAATAACATGACAAAGATTTGGATTGCATAACTTGGTTCCGTAAAACCGTAAAAATTATATTTAGAAAATTTGATCGGACACTGTCTGACCCAAACAAGTTTAGATGGGATATTTTATCTGGGACTTTATAAAAAATTAAATTGAGCCTTGAAAGAGTAAAATGAAAATAGTTTAACAAATTTGTTACTTTTTTGCAATCAATTATGTTTCATAAAACTTTTGTTTTAAACCCTACAAACATACATCAGTTGTTTCATGAAGTTCTTTTTCTACCCCTTTCAATGATGCATCATTTGATAATATTGGTTAGTATTTGCGATTTCCCTTATTAGAGTGTAAAAAACTCAAAAAAATTTCAAACCTTTCAATTCAAATCAAATCAAAGACTAATCTCAAACTTAATTTTTATTATTGAAAGTGTTTATTTGTAAGACTAAACTTAAAATCATTTTTTTGATTAAAATAATAAAAAAATTTCAGTTATTTTTAGTTAATAGTTGATCTTAAAAAGTTTTTGCAATGAAAAATGGAATCTCAAAAGATTTTACATTAAATTGTAGAAAAAAATTATTTGACTAAAAAAAGTGACTTTTAAACAAATTTTATTTTATCAATTAAATCCTGATTGTTTTTTACCACAATGATAGAATTTAGGAAATCATTTAAAATGAAAGTACACAGATGGCTATAAAACAAGATAAATCAAAAGCAAAAAAATCAAGACGAAACAAAAGAAATCATGTTCAACTTTTATGCTGGAGAGCGCTGCACCATAAACTACTTGCAAGATTTCATAAAGTCGATTCCATTTTGTTTTCTGATTTTTCTTCTAGTAAGCAAGATTGTGGAATTTAATGTCTAATGTCACTCGCGTTTCATTAAGAGCCCATTTTAAAATTAGTTGACAAATATCTACATCTCATTTTTAAGATGCATTATCAATACTTAGTCTTGTTCCTCCTCCAGTATATTTAATGAAATGGTCTAATTTTTTATCTTGAATATATTATATCAAATCTTATATACTTTTTCAGCTTCAATATCAGTATCAATATCTTCTGAGTTCATCGGAATCATCTCTAAAGAAGTATTTGATGAATGTGTTGCATTTATTTTTATGGATTCTTCTGTTGATGTAGAATTTGACTGTTCTTGCCAAGTGCAATGTTTTTGATGGATTTTAATCAACTGTTTTGATAACGTCTAACATTTTTGGATCAAACAGTTGATGTAAAGCAAAATTTAGGATCCAGAATTTAAACAGTAATAAATGTATTTAAAATTAAAATTTAACTTGTTCTTGTGTATAATCAATACACAAGGGTTGTTCAATAACAATTTTTTCCCAAATCACCTGCTGGAACGTCCTCGATTTCTATTTTCATTTGAATTCATCAAATGATTTCATTTGAATTCACATAATTGATTGTTTTGGTGATTGAAAATCCATCATGGATAAATTTGTTGGTAAAAATGCGTTGAAAAATTCATCTATTAAGCTTTATAGTACATCATTTAAGTTTAATTTATTGTGTCTTAGCCTTTGATATGCTTCTGCATTGGTATGAAAATCTTCTATAATCAAAAAAATGGCATCCCAATGTGGTGCAATATCTATATAAGGCTTTTTTAGATTTTAAAATATTTGAATTTATGCTGCTTGTGAACTGTTTTTATCCTAAAATCTTTTGAGGTTCAATTTTTGGTTATGGAAACTTTTGATGATCAACTATTAATTAAAAATAACTGAAAAAAGTTGTTATTTTTTTAAGTTATTTTAATCAAAAGAATAATTTAAATTTATTCATACTAATAAAAATCACCTTCAGTAATAAAAATTAAATTTAAGATTTTGCGTTCTAATAAGGGAAATTACCAATACTAGTCAATACTTTCAAATGGTATATCGCTAAAAAGAGCAGAAAAAGACCTTTATGAAGCAACTGATGTTTATTTGTTGGGTTTAAGATAAAAGTTTTATGAAGCATAACTGGTTGAAAAAAACAACAAGTTTGTTAAACTATTTTTATTTTACTCTTTAAATTAAGTTGAAATGCAAAATAAATTTGTTAGATTGATTTTTTCTTCAAGATTATGAAGCAGCAAATATGTCAGACATAAAATTATGACCAACTATATTGATAGAATATTTATAACATATTTTATATCTGAAAATAGTTCAGACATAAAATTATGACCAATTATGTCATTAAAAAATGGGACATTTTATGTCAGCAAAAATTAATTCAGTCAAATTTATGTCAAAATGCATCAATAGAAAATATGTGAAACAATTTA